TCAAAGCATACTGAGCATCTTTCTCTTTGACACCATGTCTGAAATCCCACGTGATCTGTCAAATACTAATGCATGAAAATCCTAACCTCAAAAAAATCACCCGTTATAATCGAAAAGGAACATTGGTTATAAGCGTAGAAATATAAACTTGTAATAAATGTTCAAAAGAAAGCTTTTTATAAGCGTAAAAGTGTAAACTTATAAAAAAGGTTCAAAAAAAGTTTTTTATAAGCGTATGAATATAAACTTACTAAAAATTTTCAAAAGAAAGCTTTTTATAAACATTTTTATAACCCTTTATTTAAAGATATTTCATTAAAAACTCATACATAGATTGCTTAACATCTAGAAACTAAACGAAATGCGAATTTTCGGCGGACTCATCTACAGTCGCGAAAATATAAATAGGGAATAGACATTTTAGCATACAAATTCACAATAACACATACAAATTAAGCATAAAAAAGTTAATTATTACATCTTGTTGCGTGCTTTCAATTACTTGCGGTTATTGGCAAATTGGAAAAGCGACATCGATGCAGCTGTATATTCCGCTTCATCGCCGCCATTCTCATTGATGAACTTTTCTGAAAAAAATTTAATACATTTTTAATTGAATGGTAAACTAAGAAAGGATAAGGGGAACTCATCATTTGAAGACTCGAATGCTCCACCGATTAGCGCAGCGGGTCCTGGATTGGATTTTCTTGTTTTACCGCATTGGTTTTATTTAATTTTTTCTTTTAATAATATATTTTAAAAAACGTAAACACGTCACTTACGATTGAAAAAATTTTATATTTACTACTTCATGTCGTTGACATTTACATTTCATTTATAAGTTTAAGTTATTTATCAACATTCGCTCTCAAAACTTATTAAAGGTTTATTTGAAAAAACTTTTAATAAGCTTAATATTAAAAATGCTTAATAACGCTTATTATAGCAAACTTAATTTAAGTTATTTTTAAAAACGTTTACTGAAATGCTTGTTGGGTATAAATGTATATTTGTGAACTACTACAACCAAACAACTGTCAAGTCACTCCAGGAGCGGTTTAAATAAAAATTTATAAATAAATAAACAACCAAGCATTTTTCTCTGAAAGTGATTGGTGCAAGCTTTGAGGTAATCGCGGGATTTGAATGAGCAGCAAAGATATGTAAAAGTTACACTTGAGGCGATCACCGTAACCACTCAAGATATAATGTGCCGTTGCGTGAGTGTTACAGCCTATTTCCACCAAAGGCTTAACTTTAGTTAAGAGCTCAGGGAAGTTCAAATAATTCCAACATGGGGTTATCGGCAATGTTTTTTTCTTAAGTTTTGCTTTTTTCCTTTAGTTCTACTTTTTTCCTTTAGTTCTACTAAATAAGAATTTTCAATAGATAAATTTTTTTTTTAATAATTTTAATTGTACTACTCATGCCTTTTGATTCCTTGGTTAACTAGTATTCTTGTCGAAAAATTAACTTAAATAAAAAGTTTTATGAAACTATATATGTGTTTTTTTTATTTTTTGTATAAGTGCTTCTGGCACAAATTTTTATATTCAACAATATCAAAAAACTAAGAAAATGTTAATATGTTAGTATATACATTCACTATAAAACTACATTCAAATTTGGCCTTCTTTTACTTAAAAATTACTTTGAGATATTCGAACTTTAATTTTCAAATATGTACTTAAATGTGTACTTATTCAAAATTCATTGAAGCCGGGAAGACACTACAGCTCAGTGTGTCGAAAAATTGTCTTTTCTATGGTATCTTGAATTTTCTCAACTTTTCGAGTTTGTTTTTTAATATGATCTTCCATTTCGTCGAAACGACCACTTTTGTCCTTGTGCTTTTCATCCTAGAAAATACCAAATATTAAAAATATGTCTGCTTCATTTATTCAAAATACCACCCACCTTGTACTTCTCCTTTTGCATCGCGTGCTCAACGTGAAGATTTCGCAATTTTAATAGCCTGCCTTCAAAATGATGTAATTCGTTTTTAATAGAGCTTAATTCCTTTTCAGTAAAGTTGCTAGCTTGAGCAACCCGCCATAAGCCTTGTACTTTCGGCTCAATAAAGTCTTGACTATGCGGCCCCGATGAAATCAAACGCTCCAAGCGATCATAATGATCCTTAATGCCACGATGATGATCACGTAGCTTGTTGATATCAGTCTCGTATTTTTTTAAATTCATTTCAGGTGTGTTAATTTCATTGTCGTTAGGATCACTTGAAATCGTATTAAATATCTCTAGTTCATCTTCATTTATTGCATCTGAGAAAATACGCAATTAGTGTGTTAACAACAAAACATATGCTTGTGAAAAAGAAACTTACTTTCATGTTTTTTAACATCCGCGGTACCAATGTCTTCTAATAAACTATAGTAAACGTCCACTTTATCCTGATGATGCTGAAACTCTTGCTTAAGTGAATCCAGTTCTTCTTTGGTGAAACCTGATACCTCCGCCTTTGCCCACAGACGATTGAGTTTTTTATCTTTGAATGCACTCTTATTCAAATGACTATCGTCGGGATCATGGAATTTCTAGAAGGCAAATTTTTATTAATATACATATATCACTTACTTTCAGCAATCACATTTTGGCATAAGTGCAGAGAACCTCAGCTCAGCATAAAAAAATATTGTCGATGTCTTTGCACAACCCCCCATCGATTGGTTGCAAGCCGTTTATCATACGGTAATCCTTAGTCCATTAAAACCCGCCTTTCCTAATATATATGTATGTATCGTCGCCTCAGAAAAACGGATGACGAATGTGCAAAATGACGATTTTGGGATTTTGATGCAGATTTACTAAGTTGGACATGCTCTT